ACTGGATCCCAGCCTCTAATAAAGATTTCTCTCTTGTCTTGCTTTCTTTGCATCTGTGTTCTGAGCACATGAACAATACTTGGCATATAGCAGATGCCAGAAAAAACAGTGTTTGAGGTGCTGGACAGGGAACTTTGCCTGGCATTTGTGAGGCCAAAAATAATCTGTTGTGTACATACATATCTACAGCATGCGTTCTTTTTATGATTTGTAAAGACAAAGACATGCTCTGAGCATAGATGCCTTAAACTTGCGGTCCTCTTCCTATCTCAGTCTTCTGAGTTCTAGGACTACAGGGCATGAGCAACATAGCCTGGCTCATAGTTCATATTTTTTGAGACAAGGTCTCACTATGTAACTCTGACCAGCCTGAAACTTGCTAGATAAACCAGGCTGGATGCCCTTGAATTCATGGAGATTCACCTGCCATTGCCTCTTGAGTGCTGGGATTAAAGGCAACCATGCTTGACTCATAATTTTTTAAAGAAGGCAAAAAAAAAAAAACCCACCCCATTTTAATCATGATTCCCATTTGGTTATCTTCACTGGAATTCATTCTAGTTTTTCATCTCCTATTACCCATATAGCCTTTTACATAATAAACTTACCCTGTGCATATTATACGTGTGCATGAGTGATTCTTAGTGATTCTAAATCTGTAAAGACAAGGTATTCCATTTTATCTCTCTCTTTCTTTCTCTCTGAGACAAGGATTTTCTGTGTAGCTCTAGCTGTCCTGGAACTCCTGTTACCAAACTGGCCTCCAACTCACAGAGATCTACTTGCCTCTGCCTCTGAAGTGCTGGGATTAAGGCATGTGCCCCCGTGCCCAGAACATTTTATTTTATTTTATTTTATTGTTTTGTTTTTCAAGACAGGGTTTCTCTCTATAGCTTTGGAGCCTGTCCTGGAACTCACACTGTAGATCAGGCTGGCCTTGAACTCACAGATCCACCTGCTTCTGTGTCCCAGTGCTGGGATTAAAGAATTGCACCACCACTGCCCGGCCACATGTTGGTTTTTTGTTGTTGTTGTTGTTGTTGTTGTTGTTGTTTTAATAACCATGCACAGTAGGTGGTACAATACCTTGCAAAGTAGGTTGTCAATAAATGTCAGTTAATCATGCTTAATCAATTTAATGCAAGGTGACGAGGGCAAATGAGAAATCAAAGCTGCGCTCTATGACAAATATGTAAAGATGAGAAGGGACTGAGTGACCGTTTGCTGGTTTTCTGTTTTACAAATGAGAAAACTGAGGACAGAGCTGTGTTTTTCTCAGAGTCACATAATGAATTAATAGACTTTTCTTGTAATCCCAGTATTTAGAATTGCAAGCAGGGGTATAAGGAGTTCAAGACCAGCCTCAGCTACAAGAGACCCTGTCTCAAAAAGGGCATTTGGGATGAGATTTGACTCCGGGGGGGGGGGGGAAGCATAGTGACACATGCCTTTATCCCAGCACTCAGAAGACAGAGACAGGTGGATCTCTGTGAGTTTGAAGCCAGCCTGGTCTACAAAGTGAGTTCCAGGACAGCCAGGATTGGGTAGACAAAAAAAAAAAAAAAAAAAACCACACACACATATACAAAAGGTGCATGTTTCTAGACATAATGTGATATTTTGATATACATATACATTATAGATTCTATCCAGCTAATTAAAATAAACATTATCAATCAATTTGCGTGCGTGTAGAGAGAACCTTTAAAATCTATTGCAGCAGCCTTGAAATCTCCAACATATTAAATGTAGTCACTACCAAGTAAAATAGATTACTAAAACTTATTTCTCCATTCCAGATAAAACTTTGTATCCTTTGATCAAAATCCTCCCTTTCTTCCCCTCATCACTTGACAACACTTATTTTTCCCTTCGCTCTGTCTCTTTTATGTTTCTTCCTGTGAATCCTTCTGTCTGAGGTTTCATATTTAACAGTGGCGGGCCTGTACGATTTTGATTTTTGTCTGAACTGCTGTGTCTCCTGGCCAAAGGCAAATGTATTCAAGACTATCTAGATTCTTTCTTGGTGACCTTTGTGAAAAAGAACTCGTGGAATTTCGGTTTGAGAGACGCCAAACCTCCTTCTAGCCTAGCAGTCAATTAAAAAGTCTTTGTCCCCTGAGGGTGGTTAACCAATCCTCGGATAGGAAAGATCAATCTCATTTCGCCGTCACCGTTGTGCAGGGAGGCTGCTAACCAGTTAGAATCTGCCACTAGAAGTCATTAGGAAAACTGGCCAATCAGGTCAACCTTACTACATGGCCTGGTCAGAAGAGACCTGAACTGATTGGAAAGTATGGTTCTGGCTCCGCACGCACTCTTTCCTTCCTGGACCCCAGGTCCCTTCCCAACCCCAGGATTAAGGAAACCCCTGGACCCCCAGATAATCTTTTCTGGGATCACCCCTCCCTCGCATGATTTAATCCACTTTTTGTCAGGTCCCTGCTCTTTTGCGATCTAATTTCTTGCTTCAAACCTTGTTGCCGGGGCCCTCACAGATTACCCATCAATATGTCAACTAGCTGGTTTTACATGATTTACGTGATTGAAAAAGTTTTGTGATAGTTGACTCTGTTTCAGGAGATACTACTGTGCAAGAACCTTACAATAAACAGCCTCATGGGAGCAGAGCTGAATGCAAGGATGCTAACTGTTATACTGACGATAATGATTATGAACTTTTACTGAGGACCAACCCCTTTGCTAAAAGCTTCTTGTACATTATTATCGCAATATTGGCTACAGGATACGCGCTGCTATTATACTCCGTTTTAAAAGGAAAAAAAAAATTTAACTTGCCCAAGGTCGCACGCGAGTTGGGAACCCAGGTTTGTCTGAAGACCCACTGCAGACTGCAGTCACTTTTCGGAAGAGCCAGGGTTAGCCCCTCACAGGACCCTTCTCTGAGCCATCGTCCTCTGAGATTTTGTTAGCCGATATACAACATTCTCTACGTTGTCGCAACCAACAGCTGCAATATCATTTGGCAGTGGCGGCTCTAAGAACCGTGGATTGTGCCTCTTAGAATATGAAACTAAGAACTGAAAGGAATTCAGTTTTGGCGGGGCGGTGTGTCCCGGGAACCTCAAGGGATCAATTCCTAAGCCCTTGTTAGCCCGTCTTCCTTTTCCCACACAAGTCTCACACTGCTTCGTACTTGGGAAAATACCTGTTGATTCCTAAAGATCCCTGGCCCGCCCCTGCCCAGGTCAACAGCTGGCACTGGAGGGAGATTTGGGGACTTCAGGAGAAGCTGTGAGAATCCTAATCCATTTGAAATAGAGGGTTTAGGAAAGGCAGGGAGTCCCCCCACCCTCTTCTTCCATTTCTCCCCACTCTTTCCCTCCCTTTCAGGAGCTCAGGGCCATAAAAATGCAGATGGAGGATCGGTGTGAAATAACGGGCCCATATAAATCCCTCTGCCGCCCGCCTGCAAGATGGATTGGCCGCATTGAAATTCCTCCGCGAGGATAATTAAACTCGGGGCCTCATCCGGGCAAAATTACATTCCTGTAATGGCGTCGCTCGGGGTCCCGGGAAATTGCTCCGTGGGCTTTCAGCGGCGGTTTTTATCGCCGGCCGGGGTGTGCCTGGCTGAGGCTCGCCTCTCCTCCGGGACCGTAAAGCTGCTGCCGTGATTTATCCTCCCCTTCTCCCAAATCCGATTAAATGGAGGAGCTCGGGGCCGGGGCGCCGCGGGGCCGGGAGGGGGTGACTGGAAGGACGGGGCCAAGGAGGGGAGGACAAACGGCCCCTCAGAGGGTGGCGGATTTGCCTTTATTTACAGCTGCGGTTCTCTTTTTATTTTTATTTATTTATTTGTGTGTGTGTGTTTGGTGGGTCTTCTCGTCTTTCTCGCGCTGCGTCCAAGCACCCTGCACGACAGCTGGGCAGCCCTCTTCTAGGCCAGTCTGGTACTGGGTGGACACAAAGGCCTGCAGGGGAGCTGGCGCCGGGAACACTCCCCTCCCCCACCTCCCCTGCACCGGGGAGGGATGGAGGGACGGGCAAAGAAAACGGGGCTTGGGAGTGCACCTCGAGGCCGGCTGCAGGTCACAGGTGCGGTTATTCCTAGTTGGCCCCAGGACTCACAAGAGGGAGCTTCAGGCCTATCTTCTGACTCGCACATGTTGGTTTTCTCATGCTTTTCAACGAGCTAGGAAAAGCCGAAAAGATGTTAAAAACAGCAGACCAGCCCTGGCATTTTATTATTAGTCCACTGATGTCAGGGTCCCCAGGGCGACAAGAAGCCAGGAGTTCCGTGAACTTATTTTCCCCGTGCTACATTTTAGGCATTGAACCCCAATCCCTACTGTTTTGCTACAAGCAATTTCCGAGTAGTTGGTTCCCCCCCCCCCCCCCCCCCATGCGATTGCACATGCTCGGAAAGGGGATTCGCGTCCCAGACTCCAAAGCTGTGCAGTCGTCACCGCCCGCCACGTTGCGGGTCGGCTTTTCTGGCTGTTGGCCGCCCTTTGTAGTTTCTCCGGTTGAACGCCAGGTGGAGAACTTGTCTCGAAGACACCACCAACGTGACAGGGGGCGCTGTGGCGCCGCGACCGAGCCTCTTGCTTGTGTTCACTCTATCCGCGGCGGAGCAACTCGTTGGCTCTGTTCGCGCATGCGCAGAGCCTTCTTTTTTGCGCTTCCCGCGCCCCCGCCCCTCTCTGTCTTCTCTACCCTGGGAGCAGGTAAGGCCTTGAGGCCTCGCGTCCTCTTCGTGGCGCGCAGGCGCGCGCAGCAGTACCCCTTGCGTGGACGCGTGGCCACCCTGACCTAGCTAGCTCCCACCCGGGTCCTCGCACCCTCGCGGCTGCCGGCATCTCCGCGCCGAGAGCGGCCCCTTCCTCGTGTCGGTGACCTCTAACCGCACGGGCCTGGCGCCATCTTGGGTGTCTCACGGGGTTTGGGGGGCCCCCTGGTGTGCGTGTTCTCGCCGGGCGCGAACCAGGCTTTATGGATGCTTTTTGCTCACCCTCCGCCTTTTCACTATTGTCATAACCCCACATTCTCCCCTCCTGTCTCTGCTTCCTCCTGCCATCCTGATCAAAATAGCCTTAACTTTTAGAAACCTTCAGACTGAACACTGTAGATCAGGCTGCCCTTGAATTCTTTGAGATTTGCCTGCCTCTGCATCCTGAGTGCTGGGATCACAGGTGTGTGCCACCATGTCCAGCAAAAAGCAAAGTTTTAGGTAGAACAAGATTGGATCTAAAAGTATGATTCAAGATTTGCAGGTAGTGCACCTACGGTTGGACAGGTTGAGGGCAGATTACTTAAGGGAACAGTGTTTAACGGGCCTATCTATACTTGGACCGAGTATCAGTTTGTGGAATATTCATAACTTAAGAAACGAGGAAAAGCCGAGGATGTAGCTCAGTGGTAGACCATCTCTTACCTAGTGCACTAAGGTTCTGGGTTCTACCTCCTCAAAAGTGAAATTAGAGAGTCCTTGCTCTGCCGCTACCACCTCTTCAGTGTTGTTGAGACCTTGACATTGTGTACCTTAAACAGAAAGACAATTAGAAAGCTTATTTAAAACATTGGCACTAGGAAGATCTAAGGGGGAAGCCAAGAACACACTTTTTTTAAAAATTGTTTTTAGGGGCTGGGAAGATAACTCTGCAGTTAAGAGCATCTCTTGCTCTTCCTGAGACCCCAGGTTTGGTCCCCAGTACCCACAGTTCCGGAGAATCCAGTGCCTTCTGACTTTCTTGGGCACTAGGCGTACACGTGGTACACATACATGCATTCAGGCAAAACATACAAATCTCAAAATGTCTTAAATTGCTCTATTGTGTGTGAGCGTGCACCGTGATGCACCTGTGGAGGTCAGGAGACTGCTCTTGGAAGTACTTCGTACCACATGTACTCCAGGGATCAAACTCATTTTCTTAGGGCTATAGGGCAAGGGCTTTACCCTCTGAGCCATCTTGCTGGCCCAGTGACATTCATTTTTAATATATATGCCATCTCTCAGGTAATTCTGGTTCAAGTGGGCTTACTTCATTTGGGGAAAAACATTGTCCTAAATCTTCAACTCACCTATTCTTTCTTTGGGTCTTGAGGATGCAAAATTTAATAGCCCTGACTGGAGTGGTGAAATGGAACGGCCAGTCGATGCTGATTGGAGTAATGCTAATGTTCCTCGTTGATTGATTGGCTGCATCTTGTTAATATAAAAGTCAATATTTTAAGGAGTCAGATGCTTCAGATAATAAAAAAGATTGAACACTTCCAGTGCCTTTGTCTTCTAAGAATTCTCCCAAAAGTGGGATTCTAGTCTTTTGGGGCTGGAGGTATAGCCAGTACTAGGCTAGTATGCTTAAGGTCTTGGGTTCTAGCACTAATACTCCCCACCCTAAGGTCTTGCACCTGACTCCTGTGTGCTGGGATTACAGGTGCTAGAGCCACCATGCACTGCTAGGTCTCCGGTCTTTTAAGAAACGCCTTTTCTAGGCCTAGACAGACCAGGAAGAGATGATTTAAAAGCAAGGGACACTGGGGAAATTATTTTGACAGCCACAAGTCATGCGACTGTGGAAATGGATGGTAGTTCTGTTTTGGAACGGGTGGAGTGTGTGTGTGTGTGTGTGTGTGTGTGTGTAGGGGGAGTTTCTCTGCATAGCCCTGGCTATCCTGGAACTCACTCTATAGACCAGGCTGGTCTCTAACTCAGATCTGCCTGCCTCTGCCTCCCAAGTGTTGATTAAAGGTGTGTGCCACCACTACCACCCGGATGGTGGTTCTTGAAAGCATGGAGCGAGCATTGTCCAGGCCATGAGAAAGTCACCTGATTGCCAGATTCTGATGCCACTGTACTGATGACCTGACATCCGTCATTCTGTCCTGTGATCTAATTAAGCTTCCTAGTGCTCCTTCTGGGGTATAAGGATGCAGTTGGTGAGCAGGAAGTGTTTACAGTGCTGTTTCTTATTTCCAGCTCTCTTGCCTTGGCCCCTCACCCCTGAAAATGTATGCCTGTTCCAGGTTCATCTCCACCCGCTCCTTGGTGAGTACATTTTGTGAAAGGATCCTAAAAGGAGGACACCTTGTTCTTTATATTGGAGAGTGCCAGAGGCGTCCAACCTTCTCACATGACATTGTTACAAATGTGTCATGACCACCACATGTGAGCCTTGGGCACAAGGGGGTCAGAAAGAGGGTTGTTGGATCCCCTGGAGCTGGAGTTATGGATGGTTGTGAGCCACCATGTAGAGGCTAGGAATTGAACCTGAGTCTTTACAGATGCTCTTAACCATGAGGCATCTCTCCAATCTTTCTCTTACTATTTTGTTGTTGCTGTCATAGGGTCTCACTGTGTAGCCCTGGCTGGCCGGAAACATGCAGAGATCCGCCTTCCTATGCTTCCTGAGAGCTGGGATTAGAGGTGTCTGCCTCTCTTAAACTAACGAAATTTGTTAAAAAGAATGCTTTAAGGTTCTGACTAAATTTGAAAGAATGGAAGAAGCATCAGAGAACATCCTACTGGGTGCAGTGACTTGGCATGGTTCTGAAAGTTGCCTACACAGCTTTCCTTGACCTTCCTGCCCATGTCATTCCACTAGGTCAGGAGCACCTCTCAGCTGCTGAGCCGTCCTCTGTCTGCAGTGGAGCTGAACCCACAGACACGGAAAGATGAGGTACCTTGAGGTGGAGTTGGGACTGGAGTTCTGGTGAGGGGTAAAAAGGGTTGCTCCCAGAACCAGTGTGAGGACAATTACCACAGACTGAACTTGAGGAAGGATCAAGCCATGACTTTAGGTAGGGATGGAAGGCAGTGAATACTCTTTTGTTAGGAATTGCCTAGTGTACTGATGAGGTGTTGGGGTCGAGAACAGGCTCATGTCTCAGACTTAACACTTTCCTTGAAGGCATTTGAACAAGTTCTCTGCCAGCGTTTTAGGGAGGTTTCTAGGGAATTAAATGATCTACTGAGGGAGGAGTATCATACTGGGCGATCCAGGAGTTTGAAAGAGTACAGTGTTTCCAAAGCACAACAGTAGATTACTAACAAAAGCCCTTCCTTCTGACTGCCTCTTCTTCACAGGCCCTCAGCAGCTTGGCAGTCCCTCGTCCTTTGACCTCACTCGTCCCTAGCCGCAGCTTCCAAACCAGTGTCATTTCCAGGGACATCGACACAGCCGCCAAGTTCATTGGGGCTGGGGCTGCTACTGTTGGGGTGGCTGGCTCTGGGGCTGGGATTGGAACTGTTTTTGGGAGCCTCATCATTGGTTATGCCAGGAAAGATTACCTGGGCCCACTGTTAGCTCTGCTATGTTTCAAAGGTCAGATCTAGAACTGCACTGTCATATACAGAGGCCCCTAGCTGGGCCTTGTTATTTTTTATTTATATTTTTGGTGTTTTGTTTTTTCAAGACAGGGTTTCTCTGTAGCTTTGGAACCTGTCCTGGAACTAGCTCTGTAGACCAGGCTGGTCTTGAACTCACAGAGATCCGCCTGCCTCTGCCTCTTGAGTGTTGGGATTAAACGCATGCGCCACCACCACCACCCTGCTCTGTTTTTCTTTTTTGAGATAGCGCTTCACTAAATAACCCTGGCTGGCCTGGAGCTTTCTGTATGGACCAGGCTAACTCAAACTCACACTGATCTATCTGCTTTTGCCTCTTGATTGCTGGGATCAAAGGTGTAAACAGCCATGCCTGGCTTTGTTCAGAATTCTTGTTTGTTTTATTTTTTTGGAGACACAGGGTTTCACTGTGCAGTCCTGGCTGTCCTAGAATTCATTTTGGCCTTGAACTCAAGAGATCTACCTGGCTCTGCCCCCTGAGTACTGGCATTAAGGGTGTGTACAGACACACTCTGCTTTAAGGTTTTTTAATAAGATTAATACAAGCTAGGTATGATGGAACAGACCTATAATGCCAACAGTTGTGAGATAGAGGCAGAACAGTCAGCAGTTCAGGTTAGCCTGGGCTACATGGTGAATTCAGGCCAGCCTAGGCTATATGAGACCCTATCTTTACATAAAATTGAAGTTTTCAGTTCCTTTATCATGTAATTTCTAGTGCTTAGAATCTGGATGGAACCTCAGTTAACGGCAGCTACAGCACATGAACGTCGCCATAGTGTGGAGCAAGGACCAGCAAGTCTAAGCTTGAGGGTGATATTTGGATCATAGCCTGGTTTTCTATAGTTGAGTTAAAAATAGTTTTTACCTTATTTTTTATTTTTTGAGACACTTTTTTAAAAGAAATATTTTAATTTTTTTATTTTTTTTTCTAAATTTATCTATTTATTTTGTATACACACACCAGAAGAGAGCACCAGACCTCATTACAGATGGTTGTGAGCCACCATGTGGTTGCTGGGACTTGAACTCAGGACCTCTGGAAGAGCAGAGCCCTTCCAGAGTCTCTTAACCCCTGAGCCATCTTTCCAGACAAGACAGACTTAACTGTGTAGTCCTGGGTGCTTCCCCACTGCTGGGATTACAAGTGGGATTATCAACTAGTTTTTATATTCTTCAAAAGTATTTCCAAAGCAGATAGAAGTTTCCCGTGTTCTTACAGGGAAGCAGCAGGGTTTAGTGTGCTGACTTGATATGTATCCGTGTGCGCCACACAGGCACAGATATGTGTGCACTCCAGAATAAATTAAAACAAGAGGCTCTGTGGTCCAGAACCCTGTCCCTTTACTGGAAAAGATGCCACCCTGGGCAGAGGTCAGCTAGTGCCATAGCGTTACTGCTGTTTTCCCCATTTCTGGAGGTTCTCTCTGTTGCTCCTTCCTGGTCCCTGGCACCTGGGACTAATTGGTGCTTACTACCTCTGGACAAGTCGCTGAAGAGCTAAATTAATCCTCTAGAGGCCAACACGCTGTTCTAATGTCTGGGGAAACAGGGTTAGTTTTTTTATTTTTTCAGAATCTGCTTTAAACAAGCCTGGTTACTTTTCTGTCCATAATTCTGCTAAGAGTTTGTGTTGACTGACCCATAAGACTCCGCAGGCCCAGGTGAGAGTCTGTGTTGACTTACCCATAAGACTCCGTAGGCCCAGGTGAGAGTCTGTATTGACTTATCATAAGACTCCGTAGGCCCAGGTGAGAGTTTGTGTTGACTTACCCATAAGACTCCGTAGGCACAGGTGAGAAGGGTGAAGTGTGTATTGACTCTAAAGTTGGGGTGCCGTCCTGTTTGATTCCACCTGCTTTCTGGAACAGTGTTGTGCCCAGAGTCCCGGGACCCTGAGGGTGGACGCCACAGCCCATCTGTGGTTTGGGTTCTGCTTCGGAAAGACTGTCATTTTGAGTATCCCCGGCCTTTCTGTTCTGGCCCTGACCGTTGTCTCCAGGCCTGCGATGGGGGAGAGATCCACTGGGGACGGTGTTTGCACATGGCCGTACAGCTCCGAAGATTGTCTTCCTCTACCTTGTTCACCCCCGCTGAAGCCGTAGTGGGAGAATATGGGTATAGTGGGTCTCGATGGATCCGTCTAAACTTAGAATGTTAGCTTGCAGGAAACCGAGCAACCACCGAGATGTTTGCCTTTTCCTTGTGGACCACAAGTTCAGACTTCTCTCCTCTTTCCCCAGGAACCCTTCTCTGAAGCAACAGCTCTTCTCCTACGCCATTCTGGGCTTTGCCCTCTCAGAGGCCATGGGGCTCTTTTGCCTAATGGTGGCCTTTCTCATCCTCTTCGCCATGTGACCCAGCTGTCTCCACTTCACCTCCCGTAGTTCTTTTGTGTCCCGTCTGCCCTGTATGTTCCTTTTCCTCTACCTCCCCAAGAAGTCTGGGGAAAGTGACTGGCTCAGGGTTTGACAGAGAGAAGACAAATAAATACTGTATTAATAAGATGTTTCTTGAGTCTCCTGTGTATATTTCTTTTCCACAGTTGGCTGAGTGCCTTGGTAAGAGAACCGAGGCCCGGTGATGATGGCTCTAAACTCCGCAGGGATCTGGCAGGCTCATTCGTTTAAGATTTATTTATTTATGTATGTATTTTATGTACATGGGTATTGTCTGTATGTGCATCTGCACACCAGAAGAGGGTATCAGATCCCATGGGACTACAGTTAGAGACTGTTGTGAACCACTGTGTGGGTGCTGGGAATTGACCTCTTGAAGAGCAGCCAGTGCTCTTAAATGCTGAGCCATCTCTCCAGTCCTTGGGTTCATTCTTTAATTTTTTATTTCAGGAAAGTTCCATTCAAAATAGCTGTTCTTTTCTGTTGTGGAAAATTATTTTAATTAAGCAAAGATGTGTTATATTTGTTTATGCTGCAGAATATTGCTTTAACTATGTAAAAGTGTTACTTTGTTTATGTTGTTTAATTATGAAAAGCTGTTTACTTTGCCTGTCTAAGGCACCTGATTGATTTCATAAAGAGCTGAACAACCAATAGCTGGGCAGAAAAAGAATAGATGGGGCTGATGGACAGAGAGAATACATAAAAGGAGAAACTGAAGAACGAGAGATGAGAACACGGGAGACACAAGACAGAAGCAGTGAAAGTAAGTTACATAGAAGTAAGAAAGGCCGTAGGCCCCAAGGAGAAGATAGAGAAAGAGAAAGAGCTAGCCAGAGATGAGCCTAAGCCAGGCCAAGCATTCAGAACAAGTCTGTGTGTCATGATTTGGGAGCTGGTTAGTGGCCTAAAAGAAAGGAAAAACCTGGCACACTTTTCAATAATTATCACAGTATGACCTGCTACTCACTTTGGGATGTTGAGGTCCCTGCTCCCAGACCCCAGAGCAGTCATTACCTGTCACTGGCACAGTGATTCTGGCTCAGGCCCTCCTTGTCACCCAGGCGGTGAAAGCCTCTTAACTGGCAGCCTGCTTCCAATTTCTTCCATTACTTACTTATACTGCCAGGTAAATCTTGAGGACAGGACTGATTTTGTCATTTACCAGTTCAAAAACCAGTTCAAAATTCATCCACATCACATCCTCCACTGGCCTGAAACACTGAAGGTGGGCCTACTTCTGCCTTCTGGGCGCTGGGACTATGGATGTGAGCTACTATCCCCGTCTTTTTCTTTTTTTTTTTTTTTTGGATTTTTTAAATTTTTTTAAAGATTTATTTATTTATTATGTATACAACATTCTTTCCATGTATGTTTGTATGCTAGAAGAGGGCACCAGATCTCATTATAGATGGTTGTGAGCCACCATATGGTTGCTGGGAATTGAACTCAGGACCTTTGGAGGAGCAGACAATGCTCTTAACCACTGAGCCATCTCTCAAGCCCCCCGTCTTTTTCTTTTTTATATATAATTTAGTTTTTTAAATGGTGAGTCTTGCCACATTGCCCAGGCTAGCCCTGAACTAGGCTCAAGTGTACGTTAAAATGCCTTCCTGGCCTTCCCACACCTTGCCCTTGCTCTGCTCGTCTCTGCTGTTTCCTCTTCAAACTTATGAAAGACTTGGCTTAAATACGACCCTTTGTCAAATGAGCATGGGCCCCTGATCACATCCCCTTTATAATACGTTTTTCAAGACGGTTTCTCTGTAGCTTTGGAGCCTGTCCTGGAACTTGCTCTGTAGACCAGGCTGGCCTCGAACTCCCAGAGATCCGACTGCCTCCCCCAGTGCTAGGATTAAAGGAGTGCTCACCACCTCCCAGCAGGCTATTTTCTTTCAAACCACGGCTTGTCTACAGCTGAAAGTTACTGGAAGTGTCTGCATATCTAAGAGTAAGCAGTATCCCCCCCTTTGCTTTGGTCACTTGAATTAGAACCCTGGTAGGAGACGCTCCTGCCCTGTCCTCCCTTTGGGGTCATTGGGTATGTGCTTTTCCCTTGATCCTGGAACTGAGTGGAGCTGACCCATTGGAGAGAGCAAAGCGTTGTGGCCTGTGTGTGCTTTTGTTCGAAGGTGAGTGAAATAGATTTATTCCAGAGGAGTCGAGGCAGGGGCGTCCTCTCAGCTGAGGCCTCAGGACACTGATTGGATACCCAAGTTGCAACAGCTTGGGGGTGAAGTCCTGCTATGTTTGGTAGAGAAACAGATTTTTGGTATTTATTATTTTTTTAAATTTATTTTTATTTTTTTATGTACATTAGTGTTTTACCTGTGTGTATGTCTGTGTGAGGGTGTCAGTTCCCTGGAACTGGAGTTACAGACAGTTGTGAGCTGCCATGTGGGTGCTGAGAATTGAACTCAGGACCACTGAGTCATCTCTCCAGCTACAAGAAACGGATTTAAGAGCAGATTTTCTGAAGATCTTTCACAACCCTGGTTTCTATTTGGCCTGGTTTTTAAAATCACCCCATGATTTGAAATCAAGAGGCTTCAGAAACTCGGGTTTCTCTGTAACACTAGCCAGTTCTAACCAGTAACTTTCCAGTACTTACGGTTTTCCCATCTGTAAACAGAAATAGCTTCTTAGGAGTGAACCCAGAGATGCTACAGGCAGAGACCTGCTTTCCTGTTCTTAGGAGTCAATTGTTTCTTCAGCACCAGGGAAGGAGGGTCGCAGTTTTATGCCCTCCTAATTAGAAGTAAACGACACCCTTTGAAAATCATCTAAATGTTAAACTGGGTGGTGATGACACACGCCTTTAATCCCAGCACTCAGGCGGCAGAGGCCAGTGTGGTGAGTTCCAGGACAGCCATGACTACATAGAAAAGAAAAGAAAGAAAAGAAAAGAATCCCAAATGCTATACAGCAGTCAGCAGGAGCTCTCCCCAGCCTCTCAGGATGGGTGTCTTACTGTCAGACTCTGCCAAGGTCATCAGCCTGAGAAAACTACCAGTCAGCAGTACTTGGGATCTAGCTCAAGCTAGTGCACCTGCGTGTGACCTTCCATCAGCGAATCAAGAGGAAGAACAGCCACAGTGGGGAGTGGTGCTGTAGTCCTGCAAGTTTTGAGCAATAAAACTTTTTATTGAGCCATATCTCAAAATACCTTACCTTTTCCCAGTCTGTGTTCGGCACACACCTCTGGCCCACCTGCCTTTTCCAAGTCTGTGTTCAGAACACACCTCTGGTCAACCTGTCTTTTCCAAGTCTGTGTTCAGAACACACCTCTGGTCAACCTGTTTTTTCCCAGTCTGTGTTCGGCACACACCTCTGGTCAACCTGTCTTTTCCCAGTCTGTGTTCAGAACACACCTCTGGTCAATCTGCCTTTTCCAAGTCTGTGTTCAGAACACATCTCTGGTCCACCCAAGTGCTGGGATCAAAAGCGTGAGCCACCATCACCCTGGTTGGGCCACATCCAAGGACCTCAACAGCAGAGAGCTTTCTCTTACTGCCAGCATTAGAGGAAAAG